AGAGAGAGAGAGAGAGAGAGAGAGAGAGAAAACAAGTGCAGCAAAACAAACAAACAAACAAACCAAAAAAACCCCCATAAAAACTGACTCACCTGTGTATATTCGAACCTCTGAGACTGCGAGCTGAGGTCACAGTTGGGCATGATGAGACCACGGGGCGAGTGGTCCAGACACAGACCCTTAGAGCGGATCTCATGGATGCGCGTCATCTCCCATCGCATCTGTGGACACATGGATTTTGGTCATATGGAGCAAACAAATTTTCGTCCTTCACCTCAACCAGATATCCTGATAGTGCGCCAAGTACCTCATCTTCAAAACAACCTCCTTTATATCTATGAAAGAAAGTATCAAACTTCAACAATGTAATAATAATGTAATAATAATAATAACAACAACAACAACAATGATAATAATAATGATGATAAAACTAATAATAATGATAATAATAACAACAACAACAATAACAACAACAACAACAACAATACTACTAACAAGTCCAAGTTTAACGATATATTTGTAAATGTCTTATTTCCGATCTGTTTGAAACTATCGTACTACTGTTTATTGCAGAGACAATCGTATTCTCTATTCATTTGATATTCAACATGTTATCCATTCCACCAATGTTGATGCATCTAAATATACGCGCCAACACATTTTTTCGTTTCTTTGATTTCTTACAATTTTGCTGTCTAAATCTTTAAGGTCAGTTTTGAGTGACCATATCTCGGGCGACTCTCATTATAGATGAACTATTAATGTATCAGATGATGCAGACTTTTTAAAACTTTAAACTGGTATGCTGCATGAGTGGGTAGTGCAATGCTTCAACACGATGATTGGGTGACTATGTTTTCCAATTTCTTTTGGACGCAACTATATATAATGAAGAACTTTACACAATGCACATTATCTCAACAATGCAGACAGTATAAACATCATCGGCCTTGGTTTTGACAGATAATCAGATAGGCCGGTATACTCTTATTAAACGGAATTCAGAAAGAACTGACCCTCAAATACACTACAAAAGATAGGCCCCCTTCCCCCCTTTCCACCTCACCCAATCGCGCAATTGGTCCGGAGTCTGTATGTAAATATGAATTACATGTATTTTCAAAACATTTGTTTTCAAGAGTATTTTGTGTCTTTGATAAGCATACACAACATAATATAAAAAAATCCTGTTAGAATGCGATGATTTTAGAATAAAATTCTTGACTGGCTTGGAAGGGAGTGAACATTAGAAAATCTCGATACTTTTGGCTGGAGCCGAACACGATTACGCCCCTTCGTACTCTTTCAAACTGACGAGCAAGAGGAACAGGAAACATGAAATATGCGACACACGCACGTTCTATAAGAGTAAGAGAGATATTACTTGTGTGTCTCAATATTGAGGCCAATACCCATAGAGGACGAATGTTAGTATGTGTAAGTAGATACGGATTTTACATCTAAAGAGAGAAGGAGGAAGCAGCGAAAGAAATAAAAATGGAGATGGAGAGACAGAAGGAGAGGGAAAGAGTGAAGAGAGAGAGAGAGAGAGAGAGAGAGAGAGAGAGAGAGAGAGAGAGAAAGAGAGAGAGGGAGAGGGGGAGAGAGAGAGACAGAAACAGAGAGAGAGAGAGAGAGCAAAAGAAAGAGAGAAAACAAGAGAAAGAGAGAAAACGAGAGAGACAGGGAGATAGATAGATAGAGAGAGAGAGAGAGAGAGAGAGAGAGAGAGAGAGAGAGAGAGAGAGAGAGAGAGAGCAAAAGAAAGAGAGAAAACAAGAGAAAGAGAGAGAGAGAGAGAGAGAGAGAGAGAGAGAGAGAGAGAGAGAGAGAGAGAGGGAGAGAGAGAGGGAGAGAGAGAGAGAGAGAGAAGAAGAAACTTACAATTGAAAAGACAATCAGCCAAACTTACCGCCCTGTTGCAGGATATAAGGCTTAGTGGTGAATTGGCTGCGGTGGACGCTCTGTGAATACAGCGGCCTCGCAAGTCTTGGATCTACACAACAACGAAAAAAGAAAGGAAATAAAATCAATATTATTATTATTTACCGGTTGTTTCATGGATTTTCAGAACTACAATAAATAGAAAAGATTTTGCTCAAGAACGTCATTTTGTAAGGAGCACACGTTGAGGTCTAAAGGATGCATAATAAATTAGGCGAAATATTTCTAAAAATCTTCATGAGATTTGTTATTGGTCAAAAAAAAAAGAAGTCATTTTTGGAGACAGAGAAACTATATGAAGAATAAGATATAAAAGGGGAAAGTAACAAAAAACCCAACCCAAACAAACAACAGCTAAAAAAACAAAAACAAAAAGGAAAACAAAAAAATAAATAAAAAGAAACCAAACACCAAGAACAAACGAACAGACAGAAAAAAGGGTTTGAAAAATGCACAATTAATCTACAATGTCCGTGTATTTAACTAACGCAAGCTAAAACGATAAACCAAACCCCCCAAAACCCCCTCAAAGAAACTAAGTACACAGGGCATAAAAACAAATGACAGTCGGGGTTGAGGGTGGTGGTGTCAAGCAGAACTGACGTCTCACCTGTCCGAGGTACCGCCCAGTTCCATCAACGTGCATCTCGGGATAGATATTGTCCACATACCAGCTGAACGAACGGCACTTGAGATCTTTTTTGAGTTTCAGCCTCTCTTCAACACTGCCATATTTCTCCTGTAGAAGAAAAAGCTGGTTAGAAATACTCAGCCCAATTTTGTATATCTTTAAAAATTGCACATTCCTAATGAGTGGTATCGGTTGTATGTCCTCGAAATATTTGGTCGAATTTAAAATTTAAAATTTTGGGGGGAAAAAGACACGGGGAAAGATACTCGTGCATAATTTAAGTATAATGTTCAAAGAATATAACAGTTTTTCCCTCACTTAAAAATGTTGCTTTTTGGGTTTGGAATATTTAAACATTGCCGGCAATATTATGTTCCTACAATGGTTTAACCCTTTCAATACCCAATTGACGTACCATGTACGTTATGAACTTGCACAATTTTTCATATCTTTTTGCACCAGAGAATGCAAAGAGTGTCGAGTCGAAAGGGTTAAAAAAGCAAACAAGAACTACCTCGTCATATGGACTCCATTTGAAGTAGATCTTGCGGTAGTCGTCGGCCCAGACCTGCGCTACACGTGCCGAGTTCTTGTTGAGTACGTTGACTTTGCTGCCCTTCAGGTAGGGGGACTGGTCCCGGAAGATGTGGGCTACCCTCGAGCACGGGTGGATCATGATTCCGCCCCCGCACATCCACAGCTGGGGAGCGAGGACACTGAGAGTGTCAAGACTTGTTCGTTTGTGGGCGTTTTGTTCAAGAGTATGAGTCAGGGTTTTTTTCGGTGTGAGTCTTGTCACAGATTTCGGGTCAAGTCTATCGGTGTCATTAAAAATATGTAAGTGTTTTACGCCCCAATCAACACAATTTAGATAATTTAGAAGGCGAGTTCCGACCCAGCCTGTAACGGCCAACCGGGGCTGTGAGATATACGTTGTCCCAGCCGGAAAGACCGACATACTTGATAGACATTCTCCCAACACTGGACTCAAACTCAGGTCTTCAGCGTGCGACAGCCAAGTGCCTTATCACCACACCTCAGACGCCAGTCTTGTTTGTGATGGGTTCGTTCAAAAGTTTGAGCTATGTTTAAAACAATAATCGGGGTGAGTTTCGTCAGAGACTTTGGATCGTGTCAGTTGGTGCCAGTTTGAGTTGGGAGCTGGAGTCTAATTTGAGCGAATGGCTTATGTTTGTTTGTATGAGTTTGACCCGAGAACTTTTAATGGCTTTTTTTTTGTTTACCAATATGTTAACAGGCGCCTGCGTTGCTCTTGCCAGTCTGTTCGTCGCTGCTCGTCTAAGCGTATAAGACGTTAGTTCATTTCCCAGAGAGAAAATTCTGTTTCTTCCTAATCTATCTTTCTGCTGAGATACTGTATCAAAATCAGTCAGTGTTGGTTTGACAAAAAAGGACAAGCTGTGTGAACTCTGCGTGATTGAAACTTGATCTAACAGGGAGAGGGGGGGGGGGGGGAGTGAATAACAGTGCACCGACGACAGCTCAGTAAGTGTTCTCAAGTTGCTCGATAGTGTGGTTGACCTTGGTTCGAATCCACCGACGGACGTTCTCTGCCTTGTTATTATCCTTACGGGGGAGTTTTGAAACCTCTCTGCCCATTTAGCTCGATCCTGCCGGAGATGAAGGAATAGTATTAAGAGGTCTCCCTAGATGAAAGTCTGTTAGTGTCTTAAGGAAATATATTCTCGTGTAATACATCTTGTCGTGGAACCAGAAGCCCGATGTACTGCGGTTGGTTTGGAGGTACCCTCTGGTAGGTCCTACTTCTTTACTTTCTTCTTTGCTGTTTCTGTTTGTATGTCTATCTTTCCTTTTCCGTGCACTATTATTTACCATTTACCCCCTCCCCCCCTCCCGGGGCAATGCCACTGACTGTAGTGTCTTTAGGCCATTCCCCAAGGTGGGACATTTCTCGTTCAAGCATAGTAGAATTGTAAATGGGCTGACTCATGTCACGCTCATAACTGTGCCTGATTTACAACAGGGAACTGCTGCTTTTTCTTTCCTGATCCTTACTGTTGTCATTTTCCTCTACTTCTTTTGTATGTTTGTCACTCTTTTGTGACCTGATATTTCCGGGGTGCCTTGAAGTCGAAGCAGACCTTGTGCTTTGAAGCTAGAGAGGTGAGCAGTCTAAGTCTGATTCCCTGTAAAGACCTCTCTGTTGACACCCATCCCTTGGCGCTCATATGACCTTATGCAGTTGCGAGCGCGGTAAAACCTTCTACTATAAAAAAAATTACCATTATTGTGTTGATATGCTTCTATTTACTCAAACAAATTATATCTTCCAGGTTGAATCTGGGATTTTAAGCGGTGGGATCTTAGGCCGAGACCATTATAATATATTATATAATATGTGTGTATATAATATATATATTATATTATGTTATATATAATTATACAAGTGGCTTGTTGGAGGGTGCTCTGGTGTGGTTTGCTCATTCTTTCCTATCAAACATCTATCGCCTGTATCTCCCCTCCTTTTTTACTTTTTTGTTACTTCCTTCTTATAACACCTCTAATCCTAGGCACTTATATGGCCTTATTGTGTTGCGAGTGCCGTAAAAATCTTACCAAAAAAAAAATATGAACAGTAATCATAACTAACAAATACGTGCCTGTCAGCACATATATCACAACCATGTACACCAAACACCTGGCTGAGTCCACCATCTTGTCAACCGCCCCACGCCCATCCCCTCCCCCCCTTTTTTTCTCCCTGTCCTCCTCAGTTTTATCCCTCACCATCCCTCAATCCTTCTCCTCCCCCCTCACCCATGTCAACAACCTCACGTGTACCTCTCTTCCTTCGAACGTGATAAACTTGAGAGGGTAAAAATAATAATGTGAGCTATCCTAGATATTTCTATGTGTTATTCTTCCAGCGTGTGGACAACAGTTTGTCTCATTGCCTCGTTATGAGATAGCCTTATTGGCTTTTTGTCATGTTTGTGTGTGTGTGCGTGTGTTTGTGTGTGTGTATTTGTGTGTGTGTGTTTGTGTGTGTGTGTGTGTGTGTGTGTGTTTGCGAGTGTGTGTGTGTGTTTTGTGTGGCCTCTCTCTCTCT